CGCGTCGACGGGCGACAGGTCTTGCACCCCGAGGCGGGGTGCGACCCCCGCGGGCATCGCCGTGGAGCTGGAGTCCCACACGTCGAAGTGCCCGGGGTACCGGCTGCCAGCTTCCGGCTCGCGCGGATTGGCGACTCGCGCCCTCGTGCCCCCAGCGTCGGGTCCCGAGTTGGGGTGAACTCCGGAGGCCCCGCTAATTGGCGAATCCCCGGCCGGTGTCCGAGCCCAGTCAGCCACTGGCTCCTCCGCGCTCTGCTGGCGCCGCCAGCCAGCTTCTTTACCTTCCAGTCAAACCAGCCTCCCGGAGCGCGCCAGCCAATCGCCGCGGAGCAGGGTGCCCGCCTGCTGGACTGGCCGCTGAGCTGGCAGCGCATCGGAGCAAGGGGGGGCGGGCATTCGGGGGGTCACGGCATTGGGTTAGGCCATCCCACGGGGCCAAGGAGGCTGGAACGGAAAGTGTTTGTTCAGCGACAGGTCTCGCTTGCCTCTTCCTTGGTCATGGGAATCTCCGGAGCTCAGTGCGTGGACGGTGGCATTTCCGGGAAGGAGGAGGGTCCCAGAAAAGTCCCCTGTCTATGCCACAAGTACTTGGGATTCTTAAAAGGATGCCAATGTGCTTGAAAACTTTTGATTGTTCTATGCTCGACGTTTCTGCTTGAGCACATACCTTTATTACAAGGAAAAAGAGACAGACAGGGAAAGAAAATGCATTGCATATTGATGAGCAGAATGGACCCAGAAAGCCAGCAAGGACTTGGATTCTAGTTTTGAAGACATCACTGCCTGGCCTTGTGCAGGGCAGAGGTGCCAGGACTCACAAGAAAGAGCAGCCTGGTGCCAGCGGGCTCGGGGAAAGTCATAAATTCCCAGTTCTACGACTCATGTTTTTACTGTAACCAAGATTACTGGAAAACCCAGGCTTCAAGGGGCCAGTAGACAAACACAGATATGCTAATAGCTAAGAGTAAAAGTATTTCCAAAGTTCCATTCTTTCCAACATTTAGATAAGAGATTACAAATATCTGCCAGACAAATTGAAGTCCAGTTTATGTCTATTTTGTTCAACAGAATGCCGGGACCGCACTGACATGTTGGGGTTACATGCTTATTGTGTAAGTGCAGCACAGCAGCCGCAGGAACAGAAAAACCCTTCCTGGATATGACCTAATTTTGGAAGATGTGTCTTGCATACCAGTAGAGAAAGCAGGCGCACTAGGGGAGCATGAGGGGAGGCGAGGGGTGGGGTGCTGGTGATGAATCAGCAGGAGCATAGGCTGAAAGCATTAAGTCAATGATTTTGCACACTTGCGAAGGCATCGGCACTCAGAGAAGCGCTGTGGGCTTTCATCCCTATGAGCCTTGAACCTAAATTGCCCAGACAGCCTCGTCGTTCGAAAGTGTTTCTGAAAATGAGACTGCGGTCTATTTGATGAAAAAGAAAAGAAAAAAAAAGTAAAGACAGAGCTCTATCTCAAGTTAAATGGATTTTGTTTTCCTTTCTTGCAGTAGGTTGATAGCATAGGGTGCCTGGTAGAAGCTAGAGCCCAGCTTTCTTGGTGCTTTCTAAGGCTGGTCTTGTTAAGCAGAAAAATAGCCTTTGCATGTCAAAAGTGGCTCCTTTTTCTAATCAGTGCCCTGGGCTGGGCTTTGTGCACTAACTGCACCCAGGTCACACCCACCAGCCACTCTGCAAAAGCAATAGGAGGTTACCTGCTTTCCTAAATCCTTACTGCCCCAGGGGCATTGCAGAGTGAAGCTATGAAACAGAATTGCCTAAAAGCAATGGGTTTGGTCTTGAGGTTTGATATGGAATAATAACAATTTAGAGAAGCCCTGAACAGGTGACCTCCAAAATTATTCTATAGTTTGGGTTCACCATTTACTATGTCTTTAATAGAGTCATGGTTAAAATGAACAAACAAACAAACAAACTCACTGCCATCAAGTCCATTCTGAAATGCTGAGCTTGTCTTACGAGGATTTCATGTTACCTGGATCCACAATCAGTGCCTAGGGGAGCAGCAGTCAAGAAATCAAATGACTTACCGGATTGAGCAAATTGCCACAAAACTCATCTTTAAAGTATTAAAAAATAAAGCTATCACTTGGAAGACTAATGTGAACCTGACTCAGGCCACGGTGTGTTCACTCAGCTAATATTCACGTGAAAGGTGGGCAGTGGATAAGGAGGTCCAGAGAATTAATCAGCGCTCAGTGTCTTCTAATTAGGATCTTGTTGGAAAATGTTGGCTATACCACAGACTGCCAGAAGAATGAACAAAACGTTCTTGCAAAAAAGTATAGTCAGAATGCTTGGAAAGGAGGATGGTGGAATTGCAACTCACATAGTTTGTACATGGTATCAGGAAGGGCCAGTCCCTGGATATCATGCTTACAAAAGTAGAGCATTCGTTCAAAAGATGAAGATCCTCAAGGAGATAGATTGACATGATTGCAACAATGGGCTCAATCATGCACAGCAACCACTGTTAGAATGCCATGTTCTCTTCTGTTGAACAAAGGGATGCTTTGAATCGGAACTGACTGAAATCCACCTAACAACAAGAATAACAACCTAACCTCTGAGAGTTTCTGTGTATTCATTTGGAAAACCCTTCATTTTCATAGCATAGAATACATACTGCTTCGTATCATGAGCATCTAACTGCATCTTCCTCCTGCGGAGTGGCTGGTGAGTTTCAATTGTGGACCTGGCAGTAACGGGCACTAAAACATAAATATTCACAGAGGTCTTGGAAATTCTGTGGCTTTGGGCAAGTCACTGGACCTCTCAGGGGCTTTGGTTGCTCATCAAGGCTAATTTATCAAGGTGTATTTAACACCTTCTAAAAAGCTTTTGTTCAGTTGTCATTAAGTGTTGTCAAGTTAATTTGCTACTTGGTGATGTCACGTGGAAGAGAAGACGTGCCCCAGTGGTTCTCTCTTGGCTGCAATCTTTAGGGGTGCAGACTGCAGATCTTCTTTCTGCAAGGGGATGGGATGAGTTGGAACCTTGGCAGTGCAGGATGGGGTCTGACAAAGACAACATTTTCAATAAATGCCCAACTGTTTAGCACATTGTAATTATGGCAGCTAAATTCACACTGAGTATATTGATAATGAAAGTAAAACAGTACTATAAAGCTGTATTTACAATGTACTATTATTAGAAAGTATAAACAGATGATAGAGAGAAGGCAGAGATAATGTTTAGGGTCTAAACCAAATTCACTGTCATCTACTTGATTCTGACTCCTCATGTCCCAATAGGACAGGGTCGAACTACCCCTGTGAGTTTCCAAGACTTTAAATCTTTTTTTTAACTGTTTTAGTAACACTTCACCCACATGTCATGTAATTCAATCATATCAAGATGCTTTACCCCCCCAAAAAGACACTTTGTACAGTTGTCCTTATAGTCAATTCTAGAACATTTTCTTCCGACTTCTACTCATTGTTATTCATATAATTAGTTTTTCTAATTGTGGCAAAAATATATACAACAAAACATCCTACAATTTCACAACTTCAATGCCATTTATTATACTCTGCATGTTGTACAACCATTATTGAAATACTTTTACAAACTATTCAGCCAACATTGACACAAACTCATTGCCCCCTAAGAAACAACAATTTCCCCTCCACCCATGGTAACCATTGGCTATGTTTGGTTTCATTTTTTAAGTGGTTTTATTGATATAGTATTCACATATCATAAAGTTCCATGGTTAAATAATTTTTAAAATGAGCTGTATATATATCATCACAATCAGATCTAGTGCTCTCCAATCCCCTCCTATATTCATTGTTTACTCCCCAAATCTGCTCCCACTCCCCAGCTTCCGCCCACCAAACCTCAATAAACCGTTGCATCAGCATCTACTCCTTCTGTGCTACAAAAACTGGGAAAACTAACAGAAACAATAAAAAACAAAAGCAAAATAAAATAAGAGTATAAAGATAAAAATGCAAATAAAGAGTAAGGAAGAAAAGACTGTCATTGATGCTTAAAAAGCCAGGGAAGAAATTTTTATTGTGGAACAAGCAAGAAATACTTGAGCCTAGAACAAAATCAGTTTGGATCAAGAGTCAGGCCCACTGACCAAGTACAAAATTATGCCATGTTCCATCCACCGTAATCAAGTTGACAATAATCATGGTCTGACAGTAAAGTTGTTCTGTCTGTTCCCTTGCCTGTGACTAGAGATCTACCAGCGGCTCTGTCTGACTAGATACTTTCTGCAGATAGGGTTTGGACTCCCACTGCCCTCCATAGCATTCTACAAATTATTGTTTAGCATCCCTTCCCAATGTGAGGTTGCTCCACCCCATTAATGTGTCCCGGCCTTGTCTCCATGATGTTTAGCATCAAGTGGATGGTCTTCTCCCTCTCCCACACTTTTGAAGGAGTGAACTCAGCTAATGTGAGGTCATCTCCTTCGAGGTTATTCTTGTGAAGTGTTCTGTGTTAGTCTGGGTACATTAGAGAAACAAATCCACAGAAACTCATATGTATAAGAGAGCGTTTTATATAAAGGGTAAATGCACATCAAGAAAACATCCTGAGATGGCCTCATTTCTCTCTCAGAGGGCAGCTGGTAGGTTTGAACTGCTAACCTTGCAGTTAGCAGCCTAGTGCTTAATTCATGGTACCACCAGGGTTCCTGCTGAGAGTCAAGTAGCATGCTATTAAAACCACAAACATCGTAAACTGCTGTTGTCGGGTGCCAGGGGCCATGACCCTGCCCATCTTGTGGGCCACCCTAAGGAGCCACCTGGGGCTGGAGATGGGCGGATAGGGATGCAGCTCTCTGCAGTCAGCATGAGGGGCACCAACAAGGGCAGGGCTGCTGGGCAGGGCTGTCACAGATCCTGCCTTCAGATTTTCCAGGGAAAATAACCCCCCAGGAGGATGAGGACATTGAAAACCCACCCTCAGGTCCTGGGTGAAATGAAAGAGGAGAGATTTCCTGAGGGTGGCAGACTGCTCCCCTTCCATGCAGGAGGCCTGGGTTCGGTCCCCAGTTAACATATGTCCTGAGCAACCACAGCCCGGCTGTCAGCAGAGGCCATCAGGTTTCGGTTGGCCTTCCTGACTAAGACGGGCTTGGAAGAAAGGCCTGGCGCGCTCCTTCTGAAAATCAGCCAGGAAACCCTTTGCATCACAGTGATCTCACTCAGAAGCCACCAGGCAGGCACAGGGCCACATGACATCTTGTTCTGTGGTCAATGGGCAGCCAACAGTGACTCCATTAAGTTACTAAGCAGGAAAGAAACGCATAGGAGGCGCTTCTTTTGGGTCTGTGCCTGAGCCCTGGGGAAATGGGTAGAAATGTCAGAGGGGGCAAAACAAAGAGGGAAGGAGTCCATT